TCATTAGCCTTTGGCAATTTTATTCAGTTATCGTTACTTGCAGGCGTACGGATGCCCTAACTCGGTTAAGCTCTCGTAGTTCTGTGGAATTTCCTTACACGATACTCGTTCTGGAGTAGTTGCTAGTCGAATTTAGGTACGCAGGCCTGATGTAAGTGCTCTTGAAGCTAGAAAACGCTTTTTTCTGGGATAAACCTTCTAGACTGTTGCATAACTGATAAACGTAAGTATTAAATCAACATTAAGAACACTAACCACCCGCATATCGTGTGTCGTAAATTAAGTCTGATATCACTGTTTGCATTCCAAAGTCTTGACATATACGAATGTGTATAATGACAAAAATCAAAAAAGTAATAGAACTTGAGAGGATGCCCTAGCCAGTACATGCGTGGACAAGAGATTTGATTAAGTTGAGGCTGCCTGGTTTTCTGTTCGCACAGGTGGCCGATTGTATCTGCCTATCATGCATGGACAAGGTGGATGTGGTGCCCGTTGACGTACACATCGCCCGAGCGGCAATGCTTCGTGGCATAGAAGTGCCCAAATCTCGGTCCTTAACTGAAAGGGCCTATAAATGCATTTCTGAGGGGTTGTCCCATCTTTGGTCACCCTACGCCGGCTGGGCACAAGTGGTAAGCAATCTGTCCCAATATGTAATACATTATACTATATAATTCGATATATGTCGTACCGACTCCGTACATTAAGGACGTCTCGGAGGCCGTCAGTCGCCTTCTCGCACCACTCGGTGTTAGGCTCGCACACAGACCGGAGGCAGCCATTGGGCGTCAGGTATTAAGACCAAAAGTCCTAATACCACGACAAAAACATCGGGAGTCGTTTATCGAATCTGGTACAGTTGCGGGCAAAGCAATTATGTTGGGAAAACTGGAAGAATGCTCCAGATGCGAATCGCCGAACACGCGGCAGCAGTGCGGAGAAATGATGCCTACTCTGGAGTCGCGGCCCATTCGACGTGACCCGGCCACACATTAAAGTTTGGTGAGGACAAAATTTTGGCGAGAGGTGATAATCGCGTAAGGCGCGAGTTGCTCGAATCATTATTTAGGGGACCTCTGCCTATTAACAAGTGCAGTAATATCCCCACTCCATATTCGGTACTGAGACTTGATCTGGCCAAAGTAATTATCCACTCAGGGAGAACACAGGCCGGTGAGCCAGGTGGCCGACCGATCATCACTCCAAAATTCAACACAAATGATAAAATTTCTGCAATTCACAACTTGCATGTCGGCCATCAAGAAATTAGCGCACCAGGGGACAGCCATTCTCGATGAAGGGGACAGCCGTTAATTATCACAGGTATGCAGTAGCATAGTGACTGCGTCCTTTGAATACTGCTACTTCCTGTGTATGAATTACCTGTGTCTGACACTGTCTCTGATGATGGGTTCGAGTGTGAATCCTAAACGTCAGACGAACAAAGCCCTTGTTCCATTGGTTGCATCTACTTCTTACCAACTTCTTCCTGGAACTCGCATTTTCGCTTGCATCGGCGAGACGTTCCATTGTTAAACAGAAAATAAATTTTACCATTTGTTGGACATTCTGAAAACGGTACAAGTTGCTCCGCTGGTGCCCTCTATTATCAAAGTATAGTGCTTACGAAATTGCTTTACTCGGGCGAGCTCACCGAAAAAGGAGAAATTGAGTCCTAGGCCTTTTCACTAATTAGCCTATTTTCTTCAGATCGCCTTCTCGCTCCATCTACATGGCGTTGGTGGAACAAACTCCAGGTGATTTACACATTTTTCTATTTTAACTACCTTTTTCCCCTTCATTACCCATTTGTAGGCAATCTCTCTCAGCACAAGGTTCCGTTAATGCCTTAGACATTTCTACAACTTGAAGCTCTCGATATAGTCCGTTTTAATGTTCGTATAGAACCTTTAGTACAGTCCAACTAAGCTAAAACTTTGTTTTTTTCGTTTCAAATCAGATTTAGCTATAGTTATCTTGACCAATATCAGACTGCTAGGCGGTTGCCTTTTTGTGACCTCTGCCCCCTATACGGAACTTTTTTGCTTCAAAAAGCCAGTAAATCGGCATGAACGACTTTCCCATCGTATATACATACAGTACGTTACTTAACTCATTAAATGTATGGAAATTTACGAATTATTGCCAATCACTCGCACACCGACACCATTTCATGAGTCCAATGTCTATGTTAATTTAGTAAAAGTTTAAAAAAATAAAAACATAGAAGAAATATTAAAGGCGGTGTTGCGTCGTTTAGAATTGCCGATTTTTTAGAAAAACGCAATACCCCAAGACGTCAGAAATGGTTCTAATTTAGTAAACTTCGTTTTTAGAGGTATAGAATGTATTATCATACCAAAAACGTAGTAAACATGAAAGTGGAAATAAAATAACATCTTATAATAGTGTTTCAGTGAAGCTTACATCTAAATATCGTTTAATATTTAGTGTGGTTTCATATATGACGGTTTGTTAACTGCTTACATTCTGAGTGTAGATTCCAAAACAGTTTTCCAGGGATTCGTGGTATTCTTGACTCATTTGAGTTAATGAGATGGGGTTCAACAAGAGGAACTGGATTTTGCTTGATCTGACCGATGCGGACGTCGTAGTAACAAAAGTTTTCATAAGTTGACGTGCTGTCAGGCCGATCGGTTCCTAATAACTTTAAATAGAACTGACAGGCGCGATCGTAAACATACCATTTTGTGTTTCTAGAGAGAGCTTTTCTTCCGTCAAATCAATTTAAACTTTTCATTCGTTTTGGATTACGTTAATTTTCAGATCGGCCTCGAAATGTTGATGAATACTTCATGATTTTCAGTGTTTTCATCTGATCGTCCATAAGGGCAGATTCTGAATTACCTGTCTCTTTAGAACTTTAAAATAAGATTATTTCCGAAGGCATTTACCGAATAAGTGAGTGTTCGGGCGCTCCTTTTCAAGTAGATTGTCGTTTGGGTCACATGTGAAGACACATTCGAACATCAAATTTCATTTTCGAGAAAAACGGCTGTCCACAACGAAACTCAGCAACGTATATGCCTTCGATCAATAAGATAACTTTCCTTTATAAGTTACCTTGTCCTGTCGGTTTCGATCGGGAATATACAATGGTAGAGGGGCGCTCACCGATCGTTCCTACGGAACTCACTCGTTCCGTTGTGTCATTCCAGTCTCCCTTGTCTTTGTTGATAATAACATACTGCCTATATCATGCGCCGCTGTGTGGCTGCTGGTTGGCCTCGAGAAAGAGAGAGCCCGTAATGCACTACGGAACGAGTTAGTTCCGTAAGAACGATCGGTGAGCGTCCCTCAACCATTGTATATTCCTGATCGAAACCGACAGGAGAACGGGCCCGTGGCCCAGGTTTTCTGGTTATAGCCTATCAGACGCCCGCAAACCTTGGAGCCCAGAAGGGTGACACACAGCCCTGCATTTGCCTGGCGCGTAAATGTTCGAGGTCCGGATATCTTCTCGCGTTCATCATCCTTTGACGAAGACAAGGTAGAAGAGAGGGCGATTTCATGGCCCGAACTCTATTTGGACTGACGTTCCGGATACGTCGCTTCTATCATTAGAGTTTTGTGGTTGTTGCCCGCCTCATATTGTAACCGTGCTCGTCGCACGAACTTTGACCTGCCCGTTTGCTGCCGACTAGCTTTGCCCTCCCCCCTTCCCCCGCGTGACCGTTGTCCCCTTGTGGGCCGGTGTAGTTGTAGCCAAGTCAACGTGGTTGTCGGCCTCCCCCGCGTCAGTCCGCCGACTGATCACTTGCCGTTCGGACGAGTTGCTTTCAGCCTCGCATGCGCGCCAGTGAGGCAGTGTTAGATGCTGGTCATTTGACCTCTGGCTATCCCCCCCCCTCTTTCCAGCGTGTGTTGTCTCTCGGGTTCGCCTGCTTAGCTGTCCATTGTACCCTCCCCGAGCCTATTAAGTAGCGTCTGGTAGGCGGGATGCAGGTTTATGGCCCGGTTGACTGTGTCCGTCAAGGTCGTCGAGTCAGGAAGTAATGTTTGACATTGGAGCGAATTCCTTGGGATAAACTTTCTCATCAAATCAAAATCAAAACATTCCATCGCGGAGGATAATCCAGAAACTTCATAGGAACGCTGGTTGACCAACTTATGTGTGGTATTTCTCGTAATTGGGTCGTACAGCAGCACAAATTCGACAAAGCACTGTGGCAAATCTATCAGTATTTATATACTAGTGGACGACCTGTTGACGGAGTACTAGTATTACGCGGTTATTTCGTTGCAGTCGATGGATTTTAGCTGATATATTTGGCAGGGCACGAGAATATGCATCCTCCATGTTAAGTGTAGTCCTACGCCAAATCCAGGGGGTTAAGGCTGAAACTAGGACACGGGAATAGGTGCCTCTCTGGAATTCAGCGCAAGGTCACCTATACTACGAGGAGCCCATTTCCACCTGTCCGACCAAATATTCATATCAACTTTTGGACTGAAACTGAAGGGTCTTGTTTCTAACAATTTACTAAGAGTTCACCAATTAAGTTCTTTGTGTATCTGAAGAATTCGATGGACCTTGTTTAAAAAATGCCTTTTCCCCCGACGCCCATGTAGTTCAGCCTGCTAGCATCGTCAAGTGCTGACGCCCGAAACGGTCGTTGGATTAGTATAGAGGTCTGCCGTCCGCCTCTCCGTCAGTGTGCGACGGGCACACATGTGCTCGTTGCGATGTTTGCTGCGCGGATCGATAATGGCCCCTGGTGTGGGATATACGTCGCCGTGCGATCGTTAACACTCCCACTTTTTAGTCGCTAGGGCTGATAGCTGCCGGCCGTCTATGGGCCGCGATGGCGACTGGCATGCTTGTCCGTCACGTCTGGCTGAGGTTGTGAAGAGGAACGTAATATTGGCGGTTGGCCAGTCGATCGATCGAATTTACCTGGAGAACCGGGCTTCGGACGGTATAATTTATCTACCGAGAAGCTTTGCAATGTTCTAGCCGGATGTGTGCCTTCCTTTCAGCAACGTGAGCGTTGGGGTCTGTGCGCCATCTGATGTTCGTGTAGACGGGTCGCCGCCGGTCCCTGAGCACAGTTGCAATCACCGTCTATACACTATCCTGCACATCGCGGCCGGGTTCATCCACAGAGCAGGGGGTCCGTGGGCTGCGGCAGAGTCCGGCGATGTGGCTTATGGTCTGTAGGCTATCCCACAGCCAAGACGTACATACGCTGTGCAGCTGTCATTATGCCTGGTCCACCGTCCTCGATGTAGCGGATTGCGTTCTCCCCACGCAGCGAACCTGGAGAGGTCGACCCGTGCTTTATACCAGCTTTCTTCTGGGTGAACTATATCGGGCCATATTTTGAGTGAATCCTCTCGCCGCCTTCAATTACCTAGTGGCAGGTCTTGAAGGGCATTAGCACTGAACTCACGGGACAGGGGAGCATATCTCTCTTCAATTTCTTGTGGCCTACCTTCTAATGTGTTATGGAAAAGAAGTGAATATGCTATTTAGCCAAAAATATAGTTATGTGAAGTATCACCTCAACGATTACTTTGCCATAGTCCCATCACAATTTGCAGTTAGTGCCTGGTCATTTGACTGCCCTTCGGTTTGATTCGCTCAGACTTACTATTTGATCCCATTTATCCACAACTGGCTAACCATCGCAAGACTAGCCAACATCGTTCTATCCTTAAAAGCCACATGTAGAGTAGAGAAGTGAAGTTCTCGCACTGGGGCTCACAACACCGAACGAGCTTGTTGAACAGTGTATGCCAACCTGTCATCTTCTCTCACCTAACTTGCTTCTCCTTTTGTAGAAAAGTGCGTTCTCTCAACCCCCTGACACTGCCACCGCCAGCAAGCTATAAGAAAAGGAGGAAGCCCAACCAGGCCACTTAGGTGCCAAAATCAGCACGTTTCTTTCATCAGAAAGAAAGAAGGAGCCAAACCAACATTCAAAACTTCCATCGCTTTGCCCCCCTTATCGTCTACTATGTTTATTTGTTTCATAAATGTCACTATTACAATCCTACTCTGAAATTCATCCATTTTGCCGTATAAAACCTCGAGCATTTTCAGAAATTGCATTAACCAACCAAGCACGTTTGCCTCGACTTCAATCTTGTTGCCCGAAACAATATAGGAGACACGAGTCTAATCACCCCTTGCCTGCGGCTCCAGTAAAAGTTTATCACCATGAGCCTAAACGACGAATTTCCGGGATCAAGCAAACTGTTATGCCTTCGTGAATTCCCGCGTCAATGCCAATCCGTAGACAGTGTCGCTGAGTCGCTTTAGAAATATTTGATACTAAGGTTATTTCAGGGAATGAATTTTCAAGGGTATCCATTTTTAAAACCGACAATTGCGCACGTAACGAATTACAAAGATCCGCTTTCTCAGCTGCAGCAACGCCAAGGGTCAAAGTTGTCTTCTAACTGTTCTGTCGTTTGCCAACGGCGTAGAGCGCATTGCTTTCGTAGAGGGGCGCTCACCGATCGTTTCTACGGAACTCACTCGTCCCTTTTCGCCTTACGGGCTCTCTCTCAAGCCCAACCAGCAGCCGCACAGCGGCGCATGATATGTCGGTAATACCATTCTGTCTATATCGTATGCCGCTATGCGGCTGCTGATTGGGCTTGAGAGAGAGCCCGTAAGGCGAAAAGGCCATTTCTTCGTTCTCTGGGGCTCTTCCCTTACCACTCCCCTCCGAGTAGTCGCCCATACTGCCAGAAACTTACGCTTACTGATAAAGATTTTGAGGTTGGCAGTATGAAGATGATAATTCTCACTATGGCACAGCGGCTACATTTAGGTGGAATCTGCCAGTTCACCACATAGCCATAACAACGAAGTAACGTTCGTGACGTTGTTTAATGGCTTTTAGCGACCGCTGACCTGACATAGTCGACCCGCCTTCTCAGACGGGAACTCGACTAATAAGAACGGGGCATTGACTTTGCATAATCCCAACATATGGACTTCGAAAAATTGCAAATGTCAACCTTGCGACAGCGGTTGCGTGACTAGGGAAAAGAGGGGGGAACCAGCATTCGACTCCTCGCTACCGCTTGCAGTTGGACCTTAGAATTTGCCCGCCTCTCCCGCTGGATTTTACTTTTCCTGGCTCCGATGTTCGCAAAAAAAAAACTAGACGACCGCTCACCACCTCCGACCTGCGGTTGAACAAAGTGGGCCTGGTCAACCGCAGTAAATCTTACGAATCAGTAGAAAGATACGTACACCAGGGACGTGTTCCTGCGTATGATCGAGTTAGGCGTGACAGGAATAACGTGCCGTGGAGCCAGTCTGTGTCCTTGGGCTTGGATTCGCATGACCTGACGTACGGCGGAGTCTGGCGCATCGAATGGCCCAGGGTTGGGTTCCCACTCATCAGCAGCCCTTCGTGCAACCTTCCTCCTCTTTTCATTTGGTTGATACCGACGATGTCCCTTATTTTGGTCTACATGTGACCGCAATAGGCAGTGATTTCCATTGTGAAAGAGCTGTTTCATGCTCCCATAGGTTTGTCTACAGCATTCCCTCTGAACTGTACACTTGCAGGCGCAGTCAGTAGCTAGAGTGCACGCATGGGCTCATTCTGCTATTGATGCGCGTGGTTAGCTTACACATTGCAGTCACCAGTCGATATAGGAAACTGATCCCGAATTTGCGAACGATGTAGTCTGCGTGGCTGCGGAGACGCCACCGTGGTGAGCCGCGTGCCATCTTGATCCTTTCAAGATCTGCAAAGAAGCCTTTTTGACGTCTGGAAGCCAGAGTCTAGCGGTACCGGGCGTTCACTTTATATGAGAACCGCAAACATAGAAGCAGGACTGTCATTGTGCGAAGTGTGCTGACAGATAAGATTTGAATTCGCTCTGAAAGCACCTCACCTCAAAGTGCGGAACCGATAAGGCTATATGCAAATGGACACAGTAAGCTGCGTTGTTGGGCGAAGAACCTCGTCAGGAGGTCATCCCACTTAGGTTGTCCGATTGCTGTCGAACCCCGCGAAAAAAAGGCTAAACGTGCCAGGACGGTCCTCTTAACCCACGTTCAGACCTCGTTAAAAGATCTAGGAGCGAAATCACTCATTTTGTGTCCCCATGGTTTGCAGAATGACGGTGGCCTTTAATTTTATGGCCTTTCTAATACATTTTACGTCTAAAAATATTTGCAGCAATTCGCATTCCCACTTACCCATTGTGGCCACCTTTTTCTCCTAAAAGTGCACAGATAGTAGTTGTGCATGATACACCTGTGATCTGGTAGGCGTAGATGATGCCGCTGATTGTAGCTCTCCACTCTTGACCTCTCCTCTCCTCCAGCGACGGAGACTGAATACCGAAGTTCCAGGGAACTCAGTGTCGAGCCAAGTTTTGAGCCGACTTCATCCTCGATGCCGCCAGGTGAACATCGGCGCCGGATCGGAGGCAGCAACACTGAGCTTATGAGGCGGACGGTGAGGAACATACACAA